AATCCTTTTTGCTACTGATTTCCCAGAGTAACAGAATTTATTTAATAATTCACTTTGATTTAATGCAGTGAGTAACATTTTCAAAAGCCAAAGAATTTTATTAAATGTGTTTATGATTTAGTTTTATACGTTCACTTACAATGTAAAGAAAGATTCGAAAATAAAAAAATTAATAACCTTACTTTTTTCTATAGCACACACCTTATATCTATTATGTATCCCTCATGCTACGAATACCCCACCCTTGGAGCATAGTAGAGCTTTTTAAGAACGAGCAATTTTTTTTATTTTAAATTTTAAATGTTGCACAATCATTTTTTAACTTGTAGGCTAGGTCCACAGGTATCATACTTATACAACACAATTTTTTAGCAACTCTAATCCTTATTCCTTTAAGAAATACAGCTCAATAAAATTAGAGTGCCCTGCGTGCCCTGGTCTCCCCTACTGTCCTTTTCTAATTACGACCAATCGTTCTCAAAGTGCCCAGTGGGGACGCGATTTCGGAATTGCGCTCATAAGCGAATACGTGAGCTTATCCGTCACGTCTATATGTGTTAGACATATGAATTTGATTTAAATTTAATGTTATTAAAGTAAAACTTAGGTATTCAATACATAATTTTCTGTAGTTTGATAAGAAAAATTAAAATTTAAAAATCGATAGAATTGATACTAGAAAGAAAAATCAATGGATTGACATTTTTTAGTATTACATTTACTATTTGAAAATAACGATATGTTTTTATTTTTTTTATTTTTTTATTCTTTACTCTGACAATATTTTGGGCATACTATTACAATTCTTTTTGAATATTTCGAGTACTAGCTTGGTACTTTATGGTCTTCTTAGTCCTTTCTAGTCCTCATGAGTCCTCTAATCTTCTGTATTTTGTGCAGTACTTTAACCTATATTTTGCTTCAGAAAATATAACAGAGGATAAGAGTGGACTGATGTGGACCACGCAAGTCTGAGATAATTTTTTGAGTGGATTGATAGAGGACTCAAAGTGTCCGGCTCCTCGATAATGGATACTTGGATAAGGTTTGTGTTTGGAGATAAAAAGTCGACGTTATTCTCTATGGGTAGTAAGACGTCATTAGCAGTGATACCGCAGAAGTTTGCCATTTGTAGAGTAGTTTTTGTGAGCTAAAGTCGAGCTGTGATGCTGTGTATTAGGAGTGAAGTTTTAGGTGGGAAATGTTGTGGACAAGAATTTTGCTTGTCCATTTGGGCAAATAAGGGCGTCTTTATGTTGTTGTTTCAATTGGGTTAGCTTTCGAGAAGTTGTAAACGGAGGCCTGGTGGGTGAGCTGCTTTTCTTTGGGCTTGTTAATATCTTTTTAGGAGTATTCGAAGCGTTGGAGTACTTTTGCTGTGAAGTTCATGAGTTGCATTGATAAGATCTTGCATATTGTCTCCCCCTCCTCTAGTCCAGGGAAATCGGAGAATCTTGGTCTCTTGTTTCTGCTATTTAGGTCATTGTAATCATGTCAGGCTTCTTCGACTGTAACAGATTTTTTAACTACATATGTTAATATGCCTTGCTTGTAATTCTGTTAGTGTTTTTTCTTCTCTTAGTTTTTTCGGTAGGATCGTGATAGTTTTTTTTACCTTCTAAAAGTAACGCTGGTGCAAAACCGGTAACTATAGGTTCTGTTTAATTGCATTTCTTTACGCATTCATGTGCTATGGTTGTCCATGGCCGCTTTCCTTGTTTTTCATTTATCTTACACCTTATTTTATTTTTTTTTTACCCAGTTTACCTCGATAGTTCTTAGGCCAAGTCGCCGGGGCTACCCGCTCACCACCTATGTGTAGGGATGTATTGCCGAACCCATTTTCCAACCCTTTTACTGATGTTACACCTAATCCATGGGCACAGTGTGAGTATCTTCGGTGAGACACCTTGCCAGTTAATCTGACACTCTTTGCACCAACGTTGCATCGGGTCTACTCGCCACTGTGTAGCCTTTCCCCGGGGAGGACTCCATATTTCAGGACGTTCACTCCTCACCGGTGAAGCAGGCGACCTCTGCCGAAGCATCGGATCCAGGTTATTTAGCATCCCCGGAGAAGTCTCATGTTTCAGGGACCACTCCTCATCGGTTAGGCCGGCGATCCCTGCTTGGTGCATCGGATCCGATAATCCCTACCTCCTATCACTGTTTTGCATTCACTTAGGCCCGAAAACCTGTGGGGCAAGGAAAAAACTCTGGAATTGCTCTGAAGACAAATTCCATAGAAAAACCCGCCCCAAAAAACAGCCGGGGTTACATAGGAACTTTTCCGAGCTGGGGGTCGTGCAGTTAGGTATCCCGGCTATCCGAAAATGCTGTTCTCTAATGGACAAGCGACTTACCTTGAACTCTATCCCGATCTAATAAATGCTAACGTCTCCGGTGACATACCAGGAGACGTGTTTAGCTAGAGCACAATCTGCTTCTAGCATTTGGGGTTTCATGGCCACTCTTCCAACCGCCCTGGGGTTACCAGAGATGATTTTGCTACAACAGCAAGCCAGGGAAAACTCTAGAGGGAATCTAAAGTGGAGAAACATTTGCAGTCTCTTGTTTTTATTATTAGATCTTGAATCAATGGGAATGCTTGCAATTGAGGTATAACTATTTTATTTAGTTCTCGAAAGTCTATACATAATCTAGATTTTTTTCTATCGTCTGTTTAAATGCTAAAGTTACTGAGGCAGCAAAAGGATTAAGATTCTCCTATTAACTAGTATTTAATAACATTGAGATTTGTTTTTTTTATTTCCTTTTTATATTCAATCGTGCACCTATACATATGTAAGGACTTTTACTGCAATATTTATCTATAGTAATAACTCTATGCGAGCTTCGTATTCTTCAACTGAGCCAACATCATATTTATCTTTTGCAAAAATTGGTTTATATTTATCTCGAGAATTAATAAATTTTAGTTTTTCGATGGAAGTTTAGAGCATGTAGTAAGATTTGAAACTTATTTGTGTCTATGTTTTTATTAAAATTTATTTTTTTAGTATAAATACATTCAGAATTTTTTTCTTTTTCCTTCTTTCGTAATATTTGTAAATTTTTATTTTTGATTAATTTAAATTCTTTCATCATATTTAATCCGATTAAGAAATCAAACTTGAATTCCTCACTTTCTACTGCGAACATATCAAATTGACTTTTTCTATAAAATAAATTTTTACTCTTATATTTATCATTCCATTCGCTTTCGTTGCACCATTAATCGCCATCAAATTAGCTTTTTCCGTTTTAAGTTTATCATTTTCGTTTTTTAATTTTATCAATTTATAATTTATTAAGGATAAATTTGATCCTGAATCATAAATCCCGATTACTTCTACTGAATTGTTTATAAGTAATTCGATGTTAACCAATGGTGGAACTACAAGTTTTTTTGAGCTGCGCATCATTTAATTCGACTTCTAACTGAGAGTTGTTTGTTAAATTAATTTTATTCTTTTCCTCTTTTTCATCGTCAGCTGAAATTTCGTTTGATTTAAACCAACAATTTGATTCGAGAGTGAAATTGAGTGCCTTTATTTAATTTTTCGCATATTTTATATGTACTGTAAAATTTCTTTTTTTCTGAAGTTTTCTTTCTAACTCAATATTAATTTTTATGGATTTCTCTGTAAAGGTCCTCGACTTCTTTTAAACTTTCTCTATTGTTTTGTTGTTACCATACGCATCAAACCAAAACCCCATAAGCAATTCCAAGTGGAATTCCAAATGTATTATAAGTGTGTTTATAGGTGGAGTTGCAAACACACAACGTTGCGTCCGAAAATTGATTAACTAATTCATTTATTTTGCAATCATGTAAATATTTTCTCACCTCAAGCCTTATAGGGAATGCTGAAACAACACAACTTCTCTCTTTTACTTGAAACCTTTATAAAGTTAAAAATCGTACGGCCAGATAGTAAACCTGAGCCCGAGTAGGTTCTTAATATCATTCAACCTTTCTCGTAGATTCGCAAAACTATAAGCCTTAAGCTACCTTTATGGGAGTCGTCGGATTTTCAAGTTCCGGATGAGACTGTACAAAACAACTCCTGGAATGAGCCACGCTCCAAAGAAAGATCAGGTGGCTTTTTAAACAGCGACTGCAGCTATGCCTGGATAAGCTGCGACAAAAGTTTATTTGTAGTGAATGTCACGTCTGGTGAGTACGTAACATCATGGACCTTCACCGAAAAAATAACCACTGTGTCAGCCTTTCCTGCTCGTCCCGGACATTTGCCCCTAATCCTTGTGGGGCTCGACAATAACGCTATTAGAATTCAAGATTCCGTTGGGCAATTGTGTGTTTTTGATTGTTGCATTTCTAAAATTTTATGTACTATTCTAGTGAGTATTATTTGTTTTCAGTGCCATGTACTAGTTTTATCTCATAGTAGATGGTTTTAGCTTTAATGGGATACTAATTATTTTTAAAGGTACCAGCTGGTGTTGAACAAGCGTGTGTGATGTACGGTGGGGCCGACTGGGAAAATTTTAATGAAGAAAATCGAGACTTAGTTTTTCCAGAAAATAGTGGATTAATCTTTGTGTCACTCAGAAACTTACAGCACTTGATAGTTGATCTTAATAGAGATTTATGGTCTAAGTCATCTTACAGTGATAAGCCTATTGTAGCCTGTTTAGAATTTGTTAATTCTTCACCTGCAGTACAACCTTCAAAAAGTAATGAAGTAGAACCTTCAGAAAGTAATGAGCTAGAACCTTCAACAAGTAATGAAGTAGAATTATTCTTTTCAGCATACAATTTGATAAGTAAAGGTAAATTTTTAACTTTTTTTTCTCGCACATAACTGTATTGGTGATTGTCAAAATGATATGTTGTGATTTTAGAAACTGAACAGCATATTAGGTTCAATAGAAAAGAATTTGAGGCTACTGCACTGTTCAACGAAAAACTATGCACTGTCCTGCACTGTTCTACAAAAATTGGCTGTTTGATAAGTGGTTGCTTAGGTCGTATTATGATCTGGGAGTTTAATGGATCTTTAAGTTGGATAAGTCCACTTCTTGACAAGTACGCATTTATCACTCATGCAGTACTTCTTGAACCCGCCGACGATCCCAAGCCCTATTGCTTTATGTGGGCCGCTTATCAGGTAAACATCTTTTTTTCTCCTTCAATTATGTAACTCGATATTCACATATTAATTTTAAAATACATGTTTTTAGGGTAGTACACCAGATTCAGTAACAGTGTTACGCATGTATGTGTTAATGTTTAAAAACAAGAGAGACGATGAGTTTGGTGAAAACCCGACTTTATATTTTAACTTGAAGCCAGACCCAAGTCTAAGATTTGAGATCGAACTAGAAAAAAATGAAAAAGTCCACAGTCTCGTTTCAATCGAACGAGTCAATCGCGACGCATCGGATTTACGGTTCCGTCGAGGCGAGGAGTCCTTATTACTCATCGGGACCCAAGAGAGATCCCTGCTTTTCGATTTAAATAGATGGTACGAAGAACAAATGCCATCTACAGTTGCTGGATGCCGAAACCCTAATAATATTTTGGCTTGTTACAAAGCGCGACAAGAGAAACCTTCTCGCGAAGAAATAATATGTTGTTCTTATAAGCCAAAGACATTGCGAGAGTTTGCAAAGAATGTTTCACACTCTCCAGAGGTATTTTTTTACCCTCGTTCTTTGAGTTTGGAGTGGATGAATTTATCGGAGAAAAATGTAGTGTTCTGGTTGACTCGAGGGGTGCAGTCAGAGCTACTGCGAGAGATAACCACAGCTGGACCCATTGTACTAATCATGCCTAATGAAACCTACCGTAGGTGTCTTCTTGCAGGGCTTGTGCCTTTTGATTTCACCGTTCAAGATTATAGTGTAAGAGTAGAACAAAAAGTAGCTCGAGAAATGCTGCTGTCGTTATGCCTAGATCAACGGTGGGCCAATTTCTTATTGCGCTGTGCCATAGAGTGGTCGGATGGCAGTGCAGAGTATCTATACTTAAAATTTCTGAGGTGGAGTATCCAACGTGGATCTCAAATCAAGTTGATGGCCGATCGTTTGTGCAAGCCGTTGTTTGATCAGTCGGGTGTCAATATAGACGAGTCTGAGTTGAAAACGTTACATCACTGTGTTCAGCAACTCGAATGTTTGAAGACCGTTATATCAAAATTACCCAATACTGAATACGATTCAACTAAACATAAAAGGGCCCTTAAAAAAATAGCAGCCTATTTTCAAGTTGTGTTGTGGTTTAATGATGTCGGTCTGTTGCCGGAAATGCAAAACATCGACGAAAGCGATGACGTGCAAATTTCAGCGCTTACGAAAATTCAGTATCCAAGAAATAAACTTGTAGAGTCTTACAAGAAAAAAAGACGAGACGCTTGTACCAAGGAAAATAAGGAAAATGATGTTTTATTCATTGATCAATTGATTGCCAGAAATTGTTCACCGCTCAAAGTGCAATGGAAAGAAGAGTCAGACAGTGAGTGTCCTAGTCAAGATGGTCTTTATCCTCCTCCATCGCTGCAGTCTTTGCTTAGGAGTTTTTTAACTGACTGCTATTGCGAAGAAAAAAGTGACGAAGAGGAGGATGAAGATGGTCAATTACCTGAAACGTACACTAAACACTGCATCGTCTTCTACTTGCTCATGGACCTGTGCATGATTCTCAAAGACTCAAATTCAGCAGTCGATCAACTTATGAAGTATCCCGCAGCTTTTAAGTTGAGTCCTAGTATTATTAAACTCATCCGAGCTTTTTGGCTTCTCGATCACGAGGATTACGATGGCTTTTTCAACATCATGACAAGCCAAATTGTTTCCAGCAATGACATCGAAGACTGGCAGCATGAACTCGCTATAAATTCACTTTTAAAAAACAATCAACACAAATTAGGTACGTTTTCAAATTTTAAAAATATGTAACATACATTCGCAAGCTGTCAATTAATTTTTTTTCATCATTTCTTTTTTACCAGCTCTAAATTATCTGCTCATTATTAAACCACCAGTGATATCGTCCGATCATCGGCGCATAATGATCGATCTGGCGGTGGAACAGGGTCATCTACTGTTAGCATTCCATGCACGACCGCAATCGGATTGCGGACCGTTACTCACGAGTTTCTTCCACTCATGTGAAAAACATGGAAAGCTCAGAAAAATTTTGCAACTTCCCTTAAACCCGGAAGAAGAGAAAGCCTTTGACAATTATCTCATAGAAAATAATAATGACAAAACTAGATTGATCCACTACTTGCTGACGCACCGCCACGTAGAAGCCAGCCACATTTTTTCTGTAAAAAAAAACTTTAACCCACATCAATCAATTGATGAGGAAATAAACTTTAACTCACCCGCTTGGAATTTACTAAATTTGGTTCACAAAAACGTACCCGAAATCTCAAAACGTTTTGCAAACAGCTGGAGAAAAAATACCTCGACATCGGCCAAGGGACGACGATTTTCACCATATCCCATTATAAATAACAACAATGAGTCTCATAAATTTCACCATAAACCAATGTCTCAATCGAGAGACGTTGATGGTGATGTTTACAACTTGGCAGTAGAAAAAACACTTGAGACGTGTCTCAAGCCCGATCGAGGTGGGCTTGGACCATTAAATTATACGCCTTTTCTAACTGCGCCATGCGCAACAATTAATACTCAACCAAAGTTTGTTACTCAAATAAATAACAATGGTAATATAAATGATATGGTATACCCAAAACGGAAGGTCTTCACGGGAAAGAGGGCTTTAAAAATGGTAATTGAGCCCGATAATGAAATAGTCAAAAAGCAGCAAAAACTTAACAACGAATCCAGGGACTCAACATTGAATGGTTGAATAATTTATCTACATATATATATATATATA